CTGAACTCGTTGTAGATGCTTAAATAGGGTATATAGACTATGCGCAAATGTATGTAACAATCAGAACGAATGTGTTCCAAACACCAAACATATAGTTTATTCTTTTGTATAGTTTTGGATAACAAAGAACAAAGTTATTCCAGAATGTATTTCCTATATTGTGGTTCTAAGGGAAGAAAAGGAAGGAGCGAAAGAAATAGCAGCTGGGTTCAACGGAGCTCATAGTCGCGCATTCCCAACTAGAGAACTCTTGTGTGTTGTTATTTGCTTTTAAGCCCAAACAGATGGAGGCGGGGCGCCAACGAGTTGTAGGCCACCATAAAATTGATTGTGCTTTTTGGCGTCGGCTACGCTGGGGGAGTTGCATGGCTTGGACTCAAGTGAAGCTGAAGTCAGTTAGGCAGCTCGTTGGCTCAAGGTGTTTGCTGTTTGGATTTAGTGGGAGCAGGCGAGAGAGTGAAGGTGCTAAGGGTTATTATGGGTAAGGATAACAAGCTCATTGAGCCGCTTGTCAAGCACTTGTGTGAGAATGGGCAGGGGTCAAATGCCAAACGATGCTGACTGTGCAATTTTTATGTTGCAACTTCATTAAAATTGCTTTTTATGTGCGCTGGCAAATCGTAAAAGCATCTAAAAGCAGCCACGCCCCTTTTGTGAAGAGACTAACGCAAAACAAAAGTCAAATTGCCGAGCATGGGCTGGGGTTGGGGGCAACAACAGCCGTGGACAACGGCACTTTTAATTACTTTCTGCATAAATTTGCACTCATTTCCTTTTTTGGGGCACGCTCTAGTCCGGGCTGGTCAGCTCGGACCCGGCATGGGCCCAGCTTGGTCAGTTGACTGGCTGCCCGACTACTCGGCTAGCCAGCAGCCTGTTTCGCCTGCAACCAGATTTTCCCACTTTTATACCCTGTTTTGTGCGTGTTAAAATGGGGTATACTGGCTATGTGCAGCTGCATATATAATATATATTGCTGTGTCCTTCAGTCTATTCTGCTGTTTCTCCGTATCGAATTCTAAGATCTCAAGAAAATAAAAATAAATATATTATTATTATAGGTAATTTTCTCATTATTTCCATCATCATTATTATTTATTAATATTATTTCTATTAATATTGGGATTATATTTATTTATTTTTTTCATTTTTAAGCGACTGGGTAATCTTAACAGTTAATAGTTTATCTTCCGTGTCCTGCGACCTTTTTGATGATATTATGTGAGCCTAGCTTAAGTGACAGACCACTTCTGTTGCTAAGTGGTTTAGTGGGCGCAGGGCTCGAGCCCCTTATTTTCTTCTGATCTATAAATAAAGCCTGTTGACTTACACTTGACATCGCACAAAAATACGCACCGCAAATATTTACTTTGTGCATACTTTATTATAAATTAAGTACCTGGATACAGGGTATGCACAAGGACGAGACTCAAACACGTGCACCTTTCTCCCTTGTTGTCGTTATGGGTAATGGAAAAAATGCTTAACTACGCGGGCCAAAAAGAAAATTATGCAAAACAGCGCCTAAGCATTTACCTGAGCCAATCCGTGCGGCTTTAAAGTAGCTATCAGAACGGCGTGGAGTGAACGCATGTGCGCGATGTCCTTAATAAAAGCACGTATTTTCATGGCTCGCTGCTTGACAGCGAGTTTTCCCAGCCAAAAGACAAACGTCAAACGATTTCGCATTTTTCGCTTGTGTGCGTTTTTCGGTTCCTTTGTTGGCCCGACTGTCGACTGTACAAACACCCTCTGCCTTTTTTGAGCCGCCCAACTCGCCTCTCGCTGCAAATTGTTGTTTAATTGTGGCATCCTTTCTTTGTTTTCCGCCAGGCTGCTGACCACAATTTGTTCACGCTCAACGTAATGGCAAATAAATCAACTGCACGTGACGCCAAACAATTCCTGGCCTAGACTGAGAGGTGTATGTGTGTGGGTGTGTGGGTGTGCAAAATGATTGACTTTAATGTCATATTGCGCAATTTATGCGACTGTCTGTCCCATTTGTGGCCTGCTCGCTGGGCGTGACCCCTGCAAATGACTAACAAGAGTCGGAGCCAGACCCAAAGCCAGATCCAAACTGAAAATGACAGCCAGAGGCCGTCAGCCGTCGGATGTAAGGGTATATATGAAAGTGGCATGCCATTCAATTAACTCAATGCCCGGCATCAGCCTCATAAAGCGAATGTCAATTACATTTCGCGGCGCTTTTGTGCAAGGTGGCAGCCATATTAAATAGGTCAAAGGACTCGATGCGCATCGATTCTACTCTGGCAATTAGTCAGCGGTCCACAGCTCTAACATTTCAACAGCAGAGTAATTCCACTTAATTGAAAGCGATTCTCTAAACTCAACTGCAAATTATGAAATGTGAGCTTCACTTCTTGAATGGACGTATTTATTTACAGGCGAAACACAATTGAGCGCCGTTGCGAATGAGCATTTCACATATGGACAGAATTTTCTCAATAATACTTAATTATTCCAGGTAACCCGAACATCCCTTTGATTCTTGGTTATCGCCAACGTTTCTTATTGGATTTAGTCGGAAAATTCACAAATGTTTCTGAATAACTTTCAAAATATGAGATAATAAAATAAGGGCAGTGCGCAAAGGATGCTGGTTCGAATTCTCGACGAGTTTAGCTGTGGAAGCATGTTGAGGGCGCCAAGACTGAGAAAATTGATTTGAGAAACCACCGAAAATGTTTTTGTGTAACTCTTTTGTGCAATCAGCTTCCAACTCCATTTAAAAAATGTTTTCGAAAATTCATTTAAGACGTGTTTCACACATTTCGCAAAATCCACCACCTTTTCGCTCTCAAGCTTCACAACGCAACTTACAAATGGGAGAATACTTAGACCTGGCAGTTCCTGGCAATAATTTTAGTTTGTTCTAATTTGTTAAGCTTTTTGTGTCATTGTTCGTCTTAAGTTTCAACCCACTCGAAGTGCTAATTGTAATCCCTAAGGGATTTTTCCCATTTATAATTTCCACTTGCAATTTCGTGACTGAATCATAAATAAATTCATGTAACCAACTAGGTGAAAGCTAGCTGCCAACAGCAAGCAATTATCTTAGCTAACTAGCTCATCAATGTTTGCCCTATCAGACAGGCAGCTCCCTAACACCACAGCTTATCCAGTTTCATAGTCCAGTGACCTAAATAGGAGTCCATCATTTAGCAGAGAGCAACTGCAGGTCTCGTTGTGAGCATGGAATTAAGTTGGATTTTGTGCTGTGTCGAAGTTTCCTTTTCATTTTGCTTGTGTGGGGGATGTCGATGATGATGACGACAAATTGGTCAAGGCCGGCCAACATTCGGCAGTTACCTCTGGCCACAAACGCTCTCTAAGCCTCCGTGCCCACCTGTCCCACTTTCTACTACATCTCTGTAAATAGTTTTCAATTGTGTGAAGCAAATGCCCCTAAGTCAATATTAAGTTAGCTGCTGGCAAAAATCCAGGACTAAGACGCTTTGCGGGTTGTCTCTAGAATCAGAGCAGCTCAGCTGGGCAGCAATTGCTTATCTTTTATCAAGGTAACTGCCACTCAAAGCAGACACAAACACACACAGACCTCAAAATATGCAGGTGTGCGAGTGCTTAAAATGTTTTTTTTTTTTTTGTTTGCCTTCAAAATCTACTCGTCTCTGCTGTAAGCGTAAGGATACGTTCAAGTGGGCAGAGCGTCAGGGTAGGGTATTTCAATTTCACATATAAGCTTGGCATGGATTACTTTTGACACACAAATGAAATTGACAGCTAATCCGTAATTGATCTGCTGAGCAGGGCAAGACGCGATACTGGAATGAGAGTTGAGTTGTGAGTTAATGTGTCGCATCGAGGAGGCGACTTCTCTGTGAAGCTGACAGCTGACAGACATCCTGTCATTCTGTTCGAGTGTTGAAAATAGAAAAGCAACCAAACTTTTGGTCACGTACTCATTTACCTGCCGTCAAAAGTCATAGCAATAACAGCGAGCAGAAGAGCTCGAGTTGGGTGTGCACAACTGGTTGATACTCTGCTTTAGGCTTCGCCTTTTCCTCAGTCCCGACTGTATACAAAATTCAAGCAATGCATGGATATTAAGTAATTAATTAGATACTTTTCAATTATAAGGCACATGGAACAGCTATATTTACCTAGCACCTATTGTGTCCGAGAAATATGCTTAAATCCGATATTTGTCGATTCCAGGAAAATTAGAAGAAATAAACTCCTCCCTTTACCATTTCCATACACTTGTAGGAAAACATTCAACGCATTTTCAATAAGTCGACGGTATGGCAAGCAAAACGAAAACAATTCTCGGCTAAAAAGGCAGTCCATGAATTTGTCAGTCGTAAGTGAGTAGGGCAAGCGACTGCATGAATTTCAATTTCTGGCATAATAAAATGCGCCACATGACAAATGTCCTTGGGTCCTTGCCTGACTGGGGCACACGGTTAGCGCTTTGGTCTCGCCACATAAAAACTTGCTTATGCTAATGCGTTAAATCGTAAATTTGCAACGAGCTTAGCAGCAATAGCAACCGCAATAAGAAATCATAAATAAAACAATAATACATAAACGCATATAAACATTTGCCAGTGCCAGGGCGAGCGAGAAGAGGAGCGTGACCGAGTGGGCGCTTACTGTTAAAAAATAAAGTGTGCCCACATTTCAGGCGACGCCTGGCAGCCATTAAAGCATAAGAAAGTGTAAGATGTGTATTACGTGTGTTCATACCGGAGTGCGTGTATGTGTGCGTGTGTGCAAGGATGTCTGGCTGTGTGTGTCTCCTTGTTGTTTGTCGTTTGTTGTTTGCCCCATTGCGACAAGCAGACAAAATATCATTTGCTTAGCATACCTAAACGGCAAGATGTGGGATATTTTGGGTGTGGGGAGTATGTGTGACAAGGGCACGTGCCCTTATACATATGTGTGTATGTTTTATATATAAATATAATGTTACGCCAGACAACGCACATGGCATAAGATAATAGTACAAATAATAAAAAGAAAGTGTAGCAATACAAAGAAAACATAAAACGAGAACAACAAAAGTAACTACAACAACAACAATACCAGCAGAAAGTACGCACAGGAAGCAAGCTAAAAGCCAAAGCGTCAACAACAGCAACAACAACAGAAACAACAACAACAGGAACAACAACGCAAAACGCATACAAATGTCAGCGATAATAGCGACCTGCGCTGGCAGCGCTGCCAGGAGGGACAGCCGCCACTGTGTTTGTGACGTCAGCGCGCTGCTGGCTGCTGCTTAAGCTCTCAACGTCCCAGCGTCCATTGACATTTCAATTTAAATAACACGATAAAACAGCAACAGCAATAACAACAACAACAACAACAACAACAACTAGTGCAGCGTCGATTTAACAACACGAACAACTAAAACCGCACCATGGAGGATGTTGGCGCTGCAACTTCGGCCACAAAGAAGAGCTCCACCACCCTGTCCGTGGATCGTGCCGCATTTCTCCTGCTGCGCGTGAAAAAGGCGTTCAAGAAGAAACGACAGCAGCGCAAGGACCGACAGTAAGTAGAACCCTTCCTCCTACCCACTCCCCTGGCAAACTCACTGACATTACCCCCATTCATGTCCACCTTGTGCCTTTCTAGCTGAAAGTTTGAAATTTGCTTTTCTTTTTTATGTTTTGCTCGCATTGCATTTGGCTTAGCGCCTTTTGCTTAGTCCTTCCGTTTCGCAACTCGGCACTTTACAAGGATTTTCCTTATTAAGCCGCTCAAATCCAAGTATATTGAATTTATCGCATTTGCTGCGGCGTCTTTTTTAGTTTTTGCTTACTTATTGCTCACAACAGCCTACACACATAGCTTGGTCCTGCATGGATAAAGGATTTGCAGCAATTAAAAAGTATTTTCGCTTAACGAGTTTAAAAAATAGTTAAGCTAGGATATGACCGGCTTTATACGTAGAATGCAGGTAAAGCAGCTTACGTTATGTTAGTTAAATAACGTTACGCGATGTTATGCCATGCTACGTTATGTTCTGTTATTTACAACTGCAACATATAGGTAAACACTCTATATTCTGTATTGTATGAGAAGCAAACGATATTTATGAGCGCAGTCTTTGAATCCCTCCTTTTAATCAGACAACTTCTATTTTATGGCAATCTTTATCTTTGACTCGGCAAACATAAATTATGTCTGAAAATGAACCCAGCTGTATGAAAAATGGCTATTAAAATAGCCAGACTTGACAGCTGCTAAGCTATATTTATTAGATGCTTTATATGTGTTTGATAACGATTTTCGATATTAAATGACAAAAGAACTAGAGTAGGAGCTTTAAAGTAATTGAGCTTGGCTACACTTGGATACAAAATGGTGGATTTATTTTACGTTAAAAGTTTCTCGCGTCGGTTTTCAGATTTCAACATTGCATTGCGTGCGTTGGCAAATGGAAAAGGTTATAAATGTAGATAGATAACAGCCTCAACCTAACCTAATCCAATCTACCGCACAGACTCTTGGCATATACTATATATATTTAATGCATTTTATATAGTCAAAGCAAAATGGCATTGCACGTATTTTATTCTATTTGGCTACAGCTCAGACCGGAATTTGTCTACTTAAAGTCTTCTATTTGCAATCCTTGATTGCCGTTGCCAATCGCTGGATTTAAACGGATATTGCCACGGCAATCACCTGCACCACGCACTCAGCGCCGTCGTTGTGCGCCTTGTGTGGCAGCTGAACGTTACCTCAAAAGGCAGCTTTAGCTGCCACGGGGCACTTGAAGGGCGTACGCCCAATTGCTGTTAGAAGAGGCTTCCTTTAGGTGGCTGTCGCCCAAAATGTTTGCTAAGCAGCTTGCGGCAAGCGCAAGACAAAGCTGCAAATGCTGTTGCAGTTGCAGCAAAAACAGCTGCTGCTGTTGCGGGCACGCAACGCATCCATTGCTCACTTCAGTGCATACACTCGTGCATATATTTTTGTGTGTACACACTGCAAAAAATTTGATTTTAACTGAAAACTATTCCAAAACTGATTTTACATAATTGGTGTGAAAGAGCAAACTAATTCGTGCCAGAGCTTCTAGCCCATTTTTAACGGAACTGCCTTTAGCCCGGAAATTTCATAATTTATTTATAATTATCCGAACCCCAAGCAGGAGCTTACTTAGAAGAATTAAAGAATCAAAAAAAAAAAAAAAACATTGGTTGGGTAAATTATTTGTTGTTGAGTTATTTAAAATATATTTATACTGCAAAACCTCTGCTAACGGACATTGATATCAGACCTTCACCCCTTTTAAGCGGACAGAGAATTCGTCCCATTTTGATTCAGGCCATACCCGACTCGTTCACTACTTTATTTGTTGCTCTTAAATTGCGCTTAAGCTAAAATTAAAATTTTAAAAGATAAACTTGAGAAACCTTTTATATTCTACCCAGAGTCAAACTAGAAATTCGCCAGAGAAATCTATATCTTACAGTCATAGAGCTTAGAAGACCAAATCTGTAGCTAGAACTCCCTATGAGCACCTCTGAATATTTGTATCGATATAAACCAGTTTTATATAGCCGACTGTAATATTTTACTTTTGGCCTTAGAACGAAGAATAATATCGAATTGCGAGTGCAAGAATGTTAATGCAAAATTAGTTGTTAATTTGATGCGCCCAAGTCTAAAATTTAATTATAAAAATGTTTTCAATTTACCATTTTACAACCGGGTGTTTTTTTTTTTTCGCTGTGTATGAAACTTAGAACGCTCCAAAAAGCAGCACTTGCGTTGTCTCGTGCTGCCCCCATTCTCGCTTGCGCTCTAGCTCTCTCTCCCCCTCACTCCATCTCTATTTTTTCTATATTCTCTGCTTCTTTACATTTGCTCTAAAGCGAATTTTTGAAATTTTTTGCCTCGCTGCATTTGCCGTAATGAAAATGCTTTTTATGATGGAACATTCACATGCTCAGCAAGTGGCGCTAACGGGGATGTGGGCGGTGTAGAAGGAAGGGCGTGGTCACAATAAAGAACTGTTGTAGCAGTAAACTCAATTAGGCGCAACAAAAATCCGGCAAATGTGAAGCTGAAACAGCGGCTGGGCGCGACTTAAAGTTTCGGCAAAGTCATTAATGCGGCACGCCCTGTCCCTGCCCTTGCCCCTGTCATACCCCCGACCCAAAAACTTCTCCATCTTATCAGCCTATGCGACGCCACTTAATTTCATTATAAAACTTGAGCCGAACTTCAAGTAAAGAACGAAATGGGCGTGGCTTTGGCATCAAAGCAACAAACTGCGTGCCAAAGAGTTAACAAGAGGTTGGCAGCGCAGCCAGCCAACAGTTTTTGGCTGCCTTTGTATACCCTGTAGCCATAAAAAAATGCGTAAGAGAGGGTATAATTAAACAAATATATAAATAAGTAAAGACGTATAGCTTTTCTATTTAGGATGATTTATGACTGTCTGTATAAAAAATGCTTTACATTTGGATACAAGTTTGGTTTATTATACAAGCCTAACTGTGATTTGATATATCACATATTTTATAAAAACAATAAATATTGATTTCGCCATCATTAAGCATAATTCGGAGATAATAACAATTAGTTTCAGCAAATTTATGATGTGTGCATCATCGATAGGCCTATCCCTGTTTTTCAATAAAAAACTCAATTTTCGTCAAATCGAGAAATATCGATATTGTTCAGGAAATGTAGGCACAGCCCGTTTTTTTTTTTATTTTTCTTTTTTTTTTGTCAAATGTCTGTTGCGCAACTGATACGAGAGTATTCCCTAGTCGGCGACTCTCAACGTTTTCTTGTCCCCCCTGAAATTCCTGCTGCTGCTGCTGCTCTTGTTGATTTGATTACATGGGCAACATTTGCTCTAATTATGCACGCGCATGTAAACACAGCTCCAAATGCAATTACACAGCCGCCACACACATACACATGTGTATTACACACACACAAGCTAGATTAGAGAGCACACAGTGCGTATACGTAATTTAGCATACGTCCATAGCTCGCCCTTTTTTGGCGTGCCCTTTATATGTTTATATGAGTGTGTGTGTGTGTGTGTGCGAGTCCTGGCAAAACTTTACCGGCCAAAATGTTGACCACTTTAAAACTTTGCCCTGTTGTTGTTTTGTGGAACCTTTTGCTGCGCGGCAGCGCCCATATATGGGTTTAATAGAGTTGTATATCAGGGTGATAAACAACTGAAAATTGTATTACCAAAATAAAAGAAAAAATAATTATAAAAAATAAAAAAAAGAACTTTATTTGACTATGTGAAAAAGTCTATGCAGCTAACTATGTCTGACATTTATTAAGTCCTTGACCTTTTCACTGTATATATTTTACGATTCTCTTGTGAGACTCGAGTATTTTTTTCGTTTTTTTATTTTTTAATAAATTGGCTTCATCTCATTCTAATGCCCGCCGGGCAACGGAATGAAAATGGATGAGTGCACATTTTTTTATATTACTTCATGCATAATAATAGACATAAATCAGAATTTCACAACGCATTAGCAACTGGGTATATTAGCAAAGACGCATATAAGAGGATGCTTAAGGTTGTTTGGCTCTTATTATCTAGATTTTAAAATAAGCTGTTGTGACCAACAATATACAGAATTTCGTGATTCGGTTAAAGTTTTGAACCAGCGACTTGTTTGGTCCACACAACGGGTTCTTAACATGCTTGAACGCAGGTTCAAACCTTGGTTCGTTCAATTTTTCCAACATAATATTTTATTGTATTATATGTCGTAAGTGATTTACTATAGTTCCACGGATTGGAGTGAAATTTCCGTTTAGAAGCTTTCAGAAAAGATAAAAACAGGTGAAGCTATTTAAATTTTGAACAGAAGCGGCTGAAACACGCATATCCAACTTATTTTTAACCTTAAGACTAACCAGTTCCAAAAAATAAGTTCAAACATAAGCCCGAATCGAATCGTGTCGAATCATTTATGATAGAACTAGTCCCAAACAAGCCATGAACCGAAATCTTGGTTTGTGGATGCGGAAAATACGACTCAAGCTGAACCCAAAAGGCAGCGAGTTGGTTCAAACTGTGAACCAGTGACCCCCTTTTTTGGTGGCAGTCCTAGTTTCAGGCAGGTTCGCAGAGCATAGATAAGTCGCTTGCTAAGCCTAGCCCAAGACCCAACACCCACCACAAATACTCTTCCGTTTTTCGTCTATGGACTGTCTTTCCATTATCAAATGAACATATATAAACTTTTATGTCGCATTATTCTTAAAGTATTTTACGGTAATTTAAGGAACTTGTTAACTTTGTTTCTTTATAACGCAAGAAGGTGCCAAGTGCTCGTTATTGTCGTTGTTGTTGTTGGGTAATGTACGGGTTACGGCTGCGAGTCAATTATGTAGATCCGCTTTGAGTTATGCACGGCCGTGTGGCACGAATGGTGGCCAGGGGGGTTGGCTTTGGACGCCACACGTTTAGCCAGCTGAAAAGGCAAAGTAAATGAGCAGCCTACCAAAAACAGGCGCCGACAACCTGACGACGACCTGATGCCTGATAGGCTGCCTAACTTCCTGGCCTTTGCGAGCTGCCGCCTGCTGTGCCCCGCCGAGTTGACCGTTTTGGCTAGTTTCCCGCCATAAAAAGGATTATTTAAAAAATCAAAATGGTGCACAGTTTTCTCTTTGATTAAACTTGCAGATGGTATTCAGATTTTGTAATGAATAAAGTAGCTTGTTTCAGCGAGTGCTTAGCCTAGCTACGACCTAGTTTTTTTGGCAGCTAAAAGTTGGCACAGCTGCCGCCACATAACAGCTTGTCTAAGTGAGCCCTGAGTGTGTGGAGGGTTAGGGAGGGGACTCTATTCGATCCTGACTTATTGAGCGTAATGGGAGACTGCGCTTAACGCACTTGAACCCTTTGCCACGCCCGCACCCAAATAATATGGCCATAAACAAAAGCCGCCCAAGCTTAAGCTGGGCTCTTAGGTATTTCTCTTAACAATACCATTTATTTATTATGTGTTGGGTGTGCTGTTTGTTGTGTGTGCTGACAGTGTGTGTGTGTGTGTGTGTGTGTGTGTTTTGCAGCAGTTATTTGGCATTTTTTGTTTCCGCTGCTGCTGTGACAAGGACGAACATAAATTGCTAACAGGACAAAAAATGCGACTGTAACTTTATGCAGTGCCAAGAGTGAGGGCGGGGTGAAGGGCATGCAGCACAAGAGCTTGCAATAGAGCTGCCGCCGCACTGGGGCGCCACTTAAAGCCGTGCAGATGCTTCGAGCCAGCGGGTGGCCGTCAAAGTTTTTTTCGTTTTATACCCTGAATACGGTATACTGGACTTGTGGAAATGTATGTGACAGGCATAAGAAGACAACTACGAGCCCGTTAAGTATATATTATCACCATCAACAGCCCAGTCGAACGGAAGATTTAGAGATCTGTATGTTTAAATGTAGAACTAGCCCAAGCAAAATCGATATTTACATCTTTTTAGGACCCTATCTCAGAGATTTTAGGAGCCAGAATAGAGAATGAGAAAGAGTGTAAATTCTAGAATATTTCACTATTTGAATATAGTTTCCTTTTACGAAGAAAGCTAGAATAGGGGGATTTCCAAGTCGGGCACTCCCAACTAGTGTAGAAACACTCGCCTTTTCTATTTTTGTTGGTTTTTTGTGATGTACGCAATCATCAATAATGCGCACAATTCGTGTTCGCTTCTCAGGGAGCTGGCTGCCAACTTTTGATACGGCCAACATATATAAAGGGCTCTGTATGCTTACACACAAGCTCATCTGTGTATCTGCAGGATATGCAGGACTTTATTTTAAGCGCCCTGAGAATGTCGGCTGCCTTTGCAAAATGTCATTGTTTTTGCAAGTAAAATTGAAGGAGGCTGAGAGCGTAGAGCCAAAACTATAAGGGTTTGTTGTAGGAGATACGCGATGAGCAACTCAAAATAGCAAAAATGAGATCTAATGTATCTTAATTTATAGATAGTTAGATCTTAATATATCGATATTTATCGATTGCGAGCACAGCTACCGAAGGAAAATAGATCAAGTTGTCTTACGTATTCTGTACTATACGCGACATTTGTTGTCTCTCGCTGATGAAACCTACGATACATGCCAAGAAAGTATCGACTGAAAATCGATTATTATCGATTTTGGTCAATCTGAGAGTAGATCTACGTTCAGTGCTGAATTCATACAGACAAACTGACAAAAAAGAATATTTGAACTCAATGATTCCTGATTAGGATTACATATACTTATAATCGATTGGAAATGCTTCCTTTTGCTCATGTCAAACATATGGACAAGTTTAATGTAACAAATTTTAATGTAAGTAAATAGTGTAAACAATTGCAGGCAGGCCAATAAGTATATGTGTTGGCAGTGGGCGTTTTAGGCGTGGCAGCAGCATTTCACAGCACTCTTAGCTGACACTTGGCAGGCAGCGCTGCTGACGTCGACAGCTGCAGCGACAGCGGCAGTAGCAGCAGCAGCAGCATCGAATGCCAGAAATTCAATCATACGTCAAGTTGAGCAATTTGTGAAAGGGGTGACAGCATTCAACTGGGAAAGCGTCGAGGGGCGTGTAAGGGTGGGGCCAGAAGGCCTCGTGGCGCTGACAGCTTTGCGCATTTGCTATGCATACAAACGTGCAGCATGGGCGTGGCATATGGGCGTAAGGGGCGAATGCAAGAAAAATCATTTTGCTGCTAACAATCAAATGTAATTCTCAGCTGACAGAACCGCATGCCTCACTCTCCCCAGCCTACCCACGCACGCAGCAGCATCATGCAAATGTAACGGAAATGAAATTCCAACAGCGCCGAGTGGTAGAAAAGGGAAGGGGGATATATTCTCTCTACTTACTACTCACTGCCCCCAAAGTAATTGCGTTTGCTTGCTGCTGCCTCAGTTGCCTTCAATAAATAATTGCATTAACTTATTATTTCACTCGCATTCACGCTCCCCTCTCTCTCTCTCTCTCTTTCTCTTTCTCTTTCCCTTTGCAGGGCCCAGCAGCAGAACGCCGGCGGCAGCGGCGTGGCCAGCTGCGTTGGGGGCAGCGGCCAACAATCACGCAGCGGCAGCCGTAAATTGCCGCCGCCATTGTTACGATCGCGCACCCTGCCCGCCATCATTGTGCCAGGACTTCCGGTTGTCTCGCTGCACACGGATAAACAAACATTTCATTTGGGTGCGTAACGTTTTATAACAATATATACATATATTTACATATCACACACACACACACACACACACATGTATCTACTAGTAAACAGCGGCCAACTGGCAACAATATTTCTCATTTTATGTGCGATTAAAAATTTTTATGCAATTAGCAGCACATTTCGCTCTTCCATTTTGTTAAATTAGGCACGAGCTATGCTTGTGTTCAAATAATATCTGCATTTTTACAAACAAATATATGTTATTTCTTGGTAGCACAACATTTCCTAATTGCTTGCAATTATTTACATTTTAAGCCCTAAATCAGAGACTTGAAATAAGAAATTATTCCCAAGCTAAGATATATCCCCCAATTAGATTCTAACAACATTTTTATTTGACTTGAGTATAACTTACTTTGATTATGGCATCTATAATTGGATGCCAACTGCATCGCATAGTCACATGCAGCATTGCAAAGCTTTAATTATGGCATTAAAGCAGTAAAGCAAGCCCCAATTGGCTACAAGTGAGGACTTTGCGTATGAGCTGATAATGTTTTGGCACACAAGCAGGTTGCAGAAACATATTAGAGCCAGGAACTTTGTTAATTTCGTTCAAAGTCAACAGACACAAAATCACGAGATAGATTAAATGCCAAGTTTGGTCAAGATGCACTAAAACTGTTCCATTCGAGAAACTGCTTTTTGACCGATCCTTTCTATGTGAACTATATGATAAAGTCAAATTATATGTTATAAATTTTAGTTATCTTGAAAAGAAAAATGATTTCAAGTCATAATTACAAAAAGTATTTGTTCAATCGGATGAGAGAATCTAAATAAGTTTGAAAGTCAACTTTAGGAATTTTTCTGATTTCCTGTTTTGACGAAAATGTTTGCAAAGAAGTTTCCAGGTAAATCTAATAAAGAGCGCTTCCAATTTCCATAACTGCTTCGAAACTAAACAGGAATTATGCTTATTATCAGTTAAGTCCTGCTACGAACCTTAGATTCTCTGTTCATTTTATTTATAGTTTCTTTTTTTAATATTAATATTTATTGGCTGTACGGTGAAACAATCAACAATGTCAAATCCTGTTTTAATTTACATAAAATGTGTTTTATCTGTAAGCTTCGGTATGTTTCCATAAAAAGCACTGGGAATCATTAACTTTCACATCAACTGCCTGTGTTTCTCATGCTTTGCGAATGTGCGGATGCGATGCGGATGTGCGAATATCAGACATGCCGAACGACCGCACGGATTGTGAATATTTTGTAAATAAACAACCAGCATTTTGCTGGCACCTGTACAGGTCAAATCAAACAAAAAAGATAAATAAGAGACTGGGTTCGGGCTAGATATACGAGAGTTAGGGTTATGGAGCACGTGTGGCTGTCATCTAAAACTGAATGACGGGATTTTATTTATGGATACGTTATGCACGTATGACATAAAAAATAATACACAAAAAAACATACAGATACATACCACTCGCTACAATAAATTTGCCATAAATATAATATTTGCTGCGCTGAAAAGTATGCTATAGATTTTGCTGATTCAAGCGTTGAGTGCTTACTTAGGCATGTGGGCGTGACCCGAGCCATTCAACCTCAAGATGGCTAGCTGCAAGCTGCTCTGGCATGGGAGGCTAACTTTTAGGAGCGTGCCCGGGTCTGGGCATAATGTGCTGTCATGTGTGCGCAAATTAATTAAAACATTTCGACAAGTTTTCGGCTTCAATTTAAATTGAATAAATTTTGAAAGCGTAACTGAAATGCAGCACAAAGACACACACTCGTACACACACAGATACCTTTTATATATTTCATAAAGTCAGAAATAATATTTGTTATATCCAACATTTTTGCCCACAGACTGCAAAAGCCGCAGCGGCAGCGCCAGTGGCCATCGCTGGTCTCTGCTTACACGGGGCGCGGTTGGCGCTGGCAGCAGCAGCAGCAGCCACAACAACAACAACACCAATTTGACCAACAACAACAACAACACACTCATGGTGAAATCATTGAATTTGCCAAAGGATGATTGCACGCTGATTTACCGTCGCAAATCGTCGGGCAGCTCGCCGCACGCACATGCCGCACACGCAGCGATGCAACAGCATGTGGCACAGCAACATTTGCATCTGTATCAGCAACATGTTGCCGATAGTTCAATGTATCAGCTGTCGGATGATTTCGAGTGCCATGCGGATGGTTCGCTTCTGCTCAGGTAGGCCTAAATCAGAGTCGTGTCTTATGCACTGAGAGAAATAGTTATGGCTGCTTATACAGTGGAGCCTTGTCTTAACGAACCTCATAGATCTTGGCTGAGGGAAATTGTTGTTATAAAAATAGATAAAGTAAAATTAAATAAACCATCATCAACCACCGCTGTATCAAGCTTTATGTAAATTATAAAAATTTTAATTTCGGAAAAAATTAAAAAAGAAAAAAACAGTAGAAAATCAAAATTTTTTTATTATTTCATAATTATTATTATTATTACGATTATTATTATTACTAGTGGTATTATTATTATTACTTTTAATATTTTTATTATTATTGGTATTATTTTTCATTATTATTGCTACAATTCTTATCAGTAGTATTATTAGCAAAAGCTGTAATTATTTTTACAGTCATTAGAGACTTATTAAGTACAAAGAAAAAAGCACATATTCGAAGAATATTCAGTTAAAAATGAAGTTTTTAGCAAACCTCAAAAGTAAATTGTTTGAGTAAATATAAAATTTAAAGAAATTAATTAATAACTAACTTATTTTATGGCACTTGCCCGAATAGTTTTTGCTCTCCGAATTGTTTTCCTATGTGCAGCCTACTCAACGATTTCTCTCAGTGTTTGCGTATACGTGACATATGGGCAACTATCTGCCTGTCTGTCTGCGCCCCTGTAGCCATATTATATAATCACTTGACTTTACAATTTGCCACAGAATACCCGCGCCGCATCCCGTGGCGCCGTCCCGCGGCTATTCACATCGACTGGGAGGCAAAAAACGTGCCACCGCATGCTCGGAGGCAACAACACCGCTGTCCAGGGAGCACCAGCATCCGCACCAGCAACTGCACGACTTTGCCATGGCGGAGAGCAGCGGCGGCTCGGGTGGCGGGCATACGACCTTCACGCGGCTGGCCAAATTGCTGCATCAATCAAGATCCAATCTGCTGCCTCCACCGCCGATGTTGCACGGCGACAATTTCTTTATGGAGGCGCCACAGGGCAATAGGAATACGGAGCTGGGCCTGGGCGAGGAGGCGCCGCGTCGTTTGTCCTGGGAAAGGTGCGTATGTAATTTATGTGGCACTTGCAACACGCTCGGGGCACACTCTCTATCTATGTATATAGCTGCTGGCCAGGTCTGTCAGCTTGTCAACTGGCTCCCCTTCGCTGCCAACGCCATGGCAATTAGTTAATTTCATTGCTGCCGCAAAGTTGATTCTTGCCACAGCCCCTAGCAGCCGTGGCAGCGATGGCAGCTGCGTTGCGTGCACCTTGCACGTGAGTCCACCTAATTGCCGGCCATGTGTGAGTACGTGAGATTTTCCGGCTTCCGATGACACAACCGCGCCACATACGAGTTCCAGCATTTATCTTCATTTGGTTGTTGCCCTGCCGCAAATGAAGACACATGCGGCCAGGAAACGCTATTCATGGCTGCCCCTTGACTTACCTCTTGCCCTCAAAACACGTGAGTTCCTCCCGCAATTGAACTTAACTAATTAGCTGCACTTCATGCTGCAGCTTAACAAGCTTATTACATGTTCCTCCCCAATGAGAAGACCAGACACAATTTCAAAATTCTATCAGAAGAAGTCTTACCAGTTAATTTACAGGAATTCATTAGAATGGATTGTTTTCAATCTATGCCCTGCTATGGATTTTAAGTGCTAAATGGCGTAATACTTTAGGAATTCCGAACAAACTTGTTGGGTTAATTTTCCAATCCTTGCGCTTGTTTTAAATTCTGCTTAAAATATTGTATGAGAAAATGGTATTTTTATTTGCTGGGAATATAAAATGATTATTTTTCTAGGAATCGCACTGACATCTATTATTCGACTTTGCCCTAACATGTTTTTCTTTCAAATTGTTAACTTTTCAACTCAATTTTATTTCTTGGGACAGTTTCAATTTGCCGTACTAACAAGAAATCTCATTTCCATTGTCTCAAATAATATTTGACAAATACTTATTAAAATGAATTTGATTCTCTCTTTAAACCCGATCTGACATTAATTTAACTTCAGCTTTTACGACCCTCATTTTTCATTGAAGGACAGTCGAATAATTAATAGGTGTGAAACAATGCATTTATAAATTGTGTTTAGTATTAAATTTAAAGCCGATTGCATGAAAAACAATTTAAAATAACATAAAACCATTTTCCTTTTAATTGAAAAATAAATATACAATAAATTTACAGCATATCAAATGCAAACCAATAATTAAACTTGCATGCAACATTTTTTCACTAAATTTCTTTCCTCGAGCATGGAATATTTAAAATTCCATGCAAGCGTTTTCCACTTAATTAAAACTAAATTTAAAGCCGATCGAACAAAAAACATTACGCCAAAATGCAACCATTCCATTTGCCACATCCATCCGTGCGAGTGAAACTACAAGCAACCATTTACTAAAACAAAAAAAATAAATAAATTATAAACGTTTTCCACAAGTTTTCCACTCTTGCTCGTGGAAAGCTCGTTTTATTCAGCTGCTAAAAAGTGCGTTGTGCTCGAGTCCAATAAACTTCATAAAAGTGCTTAAAGCTCTGCTCGTGTTGTTGGGCACTTTGACCTTTGGGATACTTTGGATCTCTTTTGAAGCATCCTTGAACCCATGAATTGGTTAGAGGATTACGACTTCTTCTGTTTAAAGGATTTGTTGAGCCCTTCACAAGTTAATCAAAAATCGCCTTTTGCTTCATTTCCTTCGCTGAATTATTCATGGTTTCTATTAAGGCCACGGCTACTTTCTTTGGTATTTGTTGTGTCGGTTTAGGAAACGTGCTTATCATATTTGTGCTGCTTCTCCTACCTCAAATATTAAGTGGGAGCTGGTCAAGTCATGCTAAGCGAAACTGAAGTCTGCCCGTTGCAATGACTGACAGTAGAGCAGCAGCAGTGTCAACACAACTTGGCTCTAAATTATATTTACCAACACGCCGCAGGAGTTGCACAATTGTTGGCAGCAAAATCCACTGTGAACTGCTCTCATTTATGGCCAGACTCCAAACCCAATTCAAAAGCAGACCCAAAGCAAATGCTGAAACTCTGATTGCAACGCAAAGTTAATTTGAGTTAGTTAGTTTTGTGGATTTTGTTCGCTGGAAAAGCACAAAGCGCCGTTTTATGAGTTTAAACTTTGATATTTAAAAACAACACTACATTTTGGCGCGGGCGACGTGTACGTCAGAGGGGAGTTAAGTTTAATTTGTGGATGCTTTAGACTATGTATTTTTGCTTAGATTGGGCTTTATTTATTATGCAGGTGCCCATTGAAATAGGCTACAAAGGGTATTTCGAAATTGTGCAAGTGTATGTTGCAGGCAGAACAAAGCAGATCCTGTATATACATATTCTTGAACGATACTATGGATCTCAATGCAGTCTTAGTTTGGAATGTGTTTTCTGCTGTATCAAACACAGGACAGCCTGATTTGTTTTTCTATAAAACTCCTATTTTCCAAAGTTCGATAAATATCGATTTTCAATCTCAATCAACTCAAACTCAGAGAAATTTAATCTGGAACATAGTTTCTTGTATCTCAAAAGCAAATCAAGCTATTTTCCAGAGTTCGATAAATATAAAATTCCAGTAGACATTGCATTGACTGTATATTCTCATGATGTACCCTGAAAAAGTTGATCGTTTTCTTTCGATAACTTATCCTAATTTTTCATTATCAATAAATATTTTCATTTTGATATTATTGAAACCCGCTCAGAAAGTTTTTACAGCTATGTCCTTAACGTTTGGGAAGCAGCTACATTTGAGCAAGAAAATTTCAGTTTTAGGATACCTTCCCCCAAAATGAAAGATAGATTCTTATTTTTTTTTTGTACTTGCACACATTTACTACTAAGGCAAGGCATTTTTTTTAATATTTGTAAAAGCAACTCGCAACTACTAATCACTACAGGGCATCGCCCAGTCGAGCACTCTCAATTAGAGCAGTCTCCCTAGTTTTTTGTTTTGTTTTCTGTGTCAGTTAGCTGCATTTGTTGCTAAATTTAGACAAGTTCCTTCTAAAAACAAAACAACTTCAATTGAAATGATAACAACAACAATCAGTTAGCTGCATGAGCTGAACGCAAAAGATATAAAAGTCCAGCAGATTTTGGGTTACTTCGCTGGCCCCGACGGGCTTAATTGTGAATGCATTATTCATGAGCTACAAAGGCGAAAAAAAAAATAAAAACAAGGAAAACAACTATCTAAGGCAAGCCTGAGATTAAATACACTTACATGCATGTTGCATAACACACATACCCTGCATCTCTAGATCTGGGCTAAAAAGGCTATATTGGTTTTGTTTAAATGTATGTAACAAGTTAGATTGATAAATATCATCTATCTTCTATCATCATCTATATTCTCACGATAGCTCCCAACATTGAAAGGGATTTGGATTTCGGACAGTAAACATCGTAGCTAAGCCATGGTCTTAGGCTGAAAATCCTACAATTTTTGATATTTTTATAATTTAAAATGAACATTTAAAATGAGCTTTCCGCATAGTGAACTTTCGCTCAAGCAAGCCTTGACGTCCATCTTCAGTTAGGGGAGTCCAATTTTGCAAAAAATGAGAAACAGGGCGCGATTTTTTAAGCCTGCCACAAGTACGCACAAAATTGCATATAAGCGCTTTTCACCAATTTTCCACATTTGTGGGTGAAATTCAGCAAAACCGTACAGCAAATGCTTGAACTGTCCGTTAATCAACCATCAATCAATCAGTACAGCATTCGAATTTATATTGATGTATACCTCATTCCATGCGTTACACATTTTGGCACATAATCATAATGCCCTCCGCATAGGGCATACGAATGAAAGTATTTTCAAGCGCTAAAGGACAAAAGCAGCCAGCCAATAAAACTGTTTCCTGGCACAGCTCCTTGGCTTAGCTTAGCTTGGCTCTGTTGTTGTTATTGTGGTTTTGTGGTTGTTGTTGCTGTTGTGGCTGTTGGGGATCAAGTTTGTGCGTGTTGCGGGCTTGAACTAGCCAAGAGACTGACAGACTGACAGACAGTTGAGCAAACGGAACATACATGAAAATTGCGCATACGTCATGTGGTACAAACACACACACAACAGAGACACAGACGCGCACACACTCAGACAAGCTCATTAGATAGTCGACGTGTAGCGCCTCGCCAACGCCAGCGAGTTATCTACTTTAAAATTTTATAAATTGTAAAAAAAAAAAAAACAGAAAAAAAAAAAACAAAATGAAGGAAAATATGAAAAACAGCAAAATTTCAGGTCCTTCATGTCGGTAACAATTTGTTGTGCCGTCATGGTTGCTGTCATTGCCGCAATTTTTGATACCCTGTAATTGAAAACGAGTATCGAAAGTTTAAAGTATTGGATATATAAGACAAGCCTAAGGTTGAGTCAAAAATTAAGTGCACGGAACACTAAGCTTGCGAAAGCCGAAACTCAAGGCAGGGATTTCATAAAAGCCGCAAACTGAACCAAGCATACTATTTCCATGGAAAATAAAACAATTCCAAGAATTATCTTTCTTATCACAGAGCACAGAAACATCGAATTCAACTGCCAAACAGACGAACTAGCAAGTCTGAATATCATCATTCCTCTCATTTCCAACTACTCGTTTCAACATTTGGCTAGCTTTAAGCAAAATGTTTTATATGTTGGCTAACTCTATGCATAATTAGATTTCATTTACTTGGAATCTATTTCCACTTGATTGATATCAGTTATAATCAGGGTAGCCTCATTAGGGTATACAAGTCTAATAAGGGTAGGCAAGCCTAATAATTTCTGAAGTAAAGATAAATTTGTTAAAAAATTTGTTTATTTTTATTCCTATGATATAAATGGATGATTCCTTTAAGAAACAAATGTTACACTGGCAAATTGTTTCAAGTTTCTCAATGACAAATTGTTTCATGACAATTAAAAGCTATTTTTAGTTTTAATCTTGAACACAGGGTATTTCGTAATCGAGCATGCTGTGCTGCTGTGGTCTCGCTTGTTTTTAAATCATTCTCTGTCACTTCATGCTGTTGTCGTTCGATGTTGCCA